TTCTCTATTAGTAAGAATTAGAATAGAATAGAGCTGGAAGGGACCTTGGAGGTCTTCTAGTCCAGCCCCCCATTTAAGCAGGAGAACCTACACCATCTCAGACAGGTGATTGTCTAGTCTCTTCTTAAAAATCTCCAGTGATGGAGCACCCACGATTTCTGAGGGCAAGCTGTTCCACTGGTTGATTGTCCTCACTGTCAGGAAGTTTCTCCCCAATTCCAGATTGTTTCTCTCTTTGATCAGTTTCCAACCATTGTTTCTCATCCTTCCCTCTGGTGCTTTGGTGAACAACCCGGTCCCCTCTGCCTTGTGGCAGCCCCTCAGATACTGGAATACTGCTATCATGTCTCCCTTATTTCTTCCTTTCTTTAGACTAGCCAAACCCAAATTCTGCAGCCGTTCTTCATATGTTTTGGTCTCCAGGCCTTTGATCATCTTAGTTGCTCTTCTCTGAATTTTTTCCAGACTCTCAACATCTTTTTTGTGATATGGTGACCAAAACTGGCTGCAGTACTCCAGGTGTGGTCTTATTAGGGCTTTATAAAGCGGTACTAGTACTTCGCATGATCTTGATTCTATGCCTCTGTTTATACAACCCAGGATTCTATTAGCTTTTTTGGTTGCTGCTGCACACTGCTGGCTCATAGTCAAATGATCGTCTACTAGGACTTCAAGGTCCCTCTCACAGTTACTGTTTTTAAGTTGGGTCATGCCCAATCTGTATTCGTGCCTTGGTTTTTCCTGCCTAAGTGTAGGACTTTGCTTTTCTCCACATTGAAGCTCATTTTGTTGGATAGGGCCATTGTTTGTGTTTGTCAAGATATTTTTGGATCCTGAGTTTGTCAACTGGGGTGTTGGCTATTCCTGACAGTTTGGTGTCATCTGCAAATTTGATGAGTTCCCCTTCAATTCCTTATATCCATCACTCCATTCCAGTCATGGGTTTCATCCCACTAGGTTTCTGTAATGCCAACTATGTGATACCTGCCCTCATGTACTATTGCTTCTAGTTCACAGATTTTTGAAATTGCACAAGGATTTTTCAAACAATTTTATAAAAGATCTTTCCTGATAAAATTGACAGGTAGAAAAATGCAAGGCAAATTTCTTTCTTTTTGCAATTATTTCAAGATGTTAGTGTTATCTCTGAATTACATTTTCTGTAACTAGTAATTCATGTTTTTCTGTATACTCTGACTGTGAGTTAGAAATGTGTGATCTCAACAATTGTTGAAGCATATTTGGCAACAAATTTGGATTGTCAGTGCCTCATTTTTCCTGTAGTACTAATCATTGGTAGAAATATGAGGCCAGTTATATGCGTATTTTACAGGGAAACTCAATTCAAAGAAGCTGTTTAGAAGTGGAAGTGAAGCTTTGATTTATGGATTTTAGCCGAGCCTTCGTGATTGTGGGACTCTCGCCCTTCTGACCCAGAAGAGACACAGCCAGCATTTCAGTGAATGTCCCTTCTTGAAACGTTTTCCTTCCTGCTATCTCCTCCCTTTGTGTGTGTGTGTGTGTGCCCGCATGTGTGCATTCATATGTATGTGTTGCACTCCCCTCTCTCTCTTCCCCATTCCAGCTGCTAATGCTAAAACAACGTTTCATCCAGCAACCCAGGGTCTAATTACGATATTGGCGTGATCAGCGTGGATTCCTTGCTCTGTCTGACAGACTGTTAAAATTGCTTACCAAAGAGGAGGAGGAGGAGGAGGAGACAAGAACTGAGGTGGGCCGAGGAAGCCATGGCTGCTGCCTAAAAAGCCACTCCTACGGACAGAAGGTGAGAGATGCAATGGCTAGACTGTGGGGGGATTTTCCTGGAGGGGAGAACTGGTACCTTGGAACATCTGTCTTCCATTCTGAATCAAATGGGTTCTCCACTGCTATTTCTCCATTGCCTATTCACAGTAGCATTATTGCAGTTTTGACAATTGCAGTTCTGTGGTGTGTGTATGTATGTGTATGTGTGTGTGTGTGTGTGTTTATGCGCATACATGTCTATTTTAAAGGACTGTGTTGCTAAGCTACACTCTTAGAATGCTGGATGTATGATTTCTCCACACACACATGCCTGCACATGTACACACTCCTGCTGTCCTAATTACTATTTGCAGCAAAATGGTCACTGATGCCGGTGGCCAAACCATGGAGGCAGAGGGTGCCACTTTGCTTCAGGGGGTTGATGAGTTGCCATGGATGGGGGTCGCTTTCCAAAGGGGGCAGGCAGCCCATAGATCTTGCACCTGGATTCTTACAGCGCTGGTTACAGTGCTAGAGAAGTTGGGCTAGCTCCGTGAGCAGCATGGCTTTGTCTTGCAGGGCTCCAATCTGCCGGAGGAAGCGGCAGTCAGGCAAGAAACAAGGGGGAGGAAGCAGTCAGCCCCCCCCCCCCCATGCTGTGGGAAGAGAGTTTTGAATCCTTGTGCAGTTATGGGGACTGAGAGTTGGGATGAGCTGAATTTCTAATAGAGGAATATGTTTTTGCACTCTCATTTATGTACAGTGATCATTATTCCCTGCTACAGATCCTCATCCAAATTGTGCACTATTTACACAAGAATCATGATTCTCTGCTCAGAATAAATTGCATAAAGCAATACAAGATGCGGTATTAACATGTACTAATGTTGTTTGAAGTTGAGTTTGCATACTTCCTTCTAAGTAGGGCATTCAAATTTTCCAATTCTTTGGCCAGAGAGAAGTAAGAAAGGAGCAGAGATTAGGAGAAACAGCTGAGGAATGTGACTATTTTGTTTATCAGATCTGAGGCCCAGAAATAAGTAAAGATACATCTTTTTTCTTGTTATATGTGAAGATAAAGCAATTTGCACTCACATTTGTACAAAAAAGCATAACTTTACAAATTCACTGTAAAATTCCATTTTTATTTCTGCTACTTGAATATGAGCAAATATTCCAGTATTTATTTTTAATTAATACTCTTAACATGATTGGGTTAGTGATTATATAACACCTTACTATGATGAAACTTGCATTAAAATATACTCTTGCTGGTGGGAAAAGCAGTTGGAGCTTCTGGATTCCCTGAGATGCTTGTGTTTTTTAACAAGACTACAATCTGAAGTGAATATGCAACACCACTGAGTTTGGTGGATTTATTCCTGTCCCACTAAATTGGGGTGTGAAAAGTGGGAAGCCACAGCAGTGACCACCAATGGGAAACACTCAGCCTTCTATTTATGATGGATTTTGTCAATCAGTGTGTCTGCTATGACTGTATTTTTCTCAAACTTTGGACTCCCTTTTGCAGCTTAAACATATTAAAAAGTCCTGTAGCAAAAGTTTGTCTTCTAAAAGTTCCTTTTAGATTCCCTTGGAAATTCAAATTCTCAGCCATGGTAAAAGTTTTCTCAGCTCTTTCTACAGATTGGAAAATGTCCATTCTCTGCTTTGAACTATAAGATACTTATCAAATTCTTGAGCTGAATCCTGCTTTGATTCCATTAACTCACAAAAATTGTCTTACTTTGGGGTACACCTCCACACACTCTTCTCATAGCAAAAGTAAAATTTAGCACCCTCAGAGAGAGAATTTTAAAATGCCTACTTTAATTTGTCTCCTTCCCTGACTCCTTAGAATCAGAGGCTGGCTGGCTGGATCCTGGAACCAATTGTTCTTTATGGTTCGGTTTTGTACATCAGATCTTAAAATGCATATTTACTCGGAAGAAATCCATGCTCACAGTAATATGTGCACAAGGTTTCTACAATATAATTTTAGTGGGAGTGGACATTTGAAGGCAGGAAGGTACTTTGAAAAAAATATGTTCTGCTTTTTCAAAAAAATATTTTAAAATGTTCATTTTTCCTAATTTTAGAGTAGTTCTTAACTTACAATAGTTTAATGACAGTTTGAAGTTACAATACCACTGAAAAAAGTGGCTTATGACCATGTTTCATTTACAACCATTGCAGCATCCCTGTGGTCATGTGATTGAAATTCAGATCCTTGACAATTGACTTATATTTATGACAGTTGCAGGTGTCCTGGAGTCATGTGATCACCTTTTGTGATTTTCTGACAAGCAAAGTCAACAGGGAAGCCAGTTTCAGTTAACAACCGTGTTACTAACTTAACAACTGCAACGATTCACTTAACAAATATGGCAGGAAAGATTGTAAAATGGGGCAAAATTGACTTAACAAATGTTTCACTTAGCAACAGAAATTTGGGGCTCAATTGTGGTCATGTCGAAAAAACTACCTATATTGTATGTCACCATATATATTTTTTTAAAAAAAACTAAGGGACATTATTATTTTATTCTCTTATAGATGCCATATCCTCCTTGAGTTGTTAGAACAACTTTATACTTTACACAAGCTACTTGACAAGGTAAGGTGACTTTACTAAATCTGAGCATCTGGACTCCAAAAGAGGAGAGGCCTTGGTCAGATAGTTTTCATATAGAATATCAAAGTTATTGTTTGACCTTAAAGCAACTATTCTCAAACTGTGGGTTAGGACCTTTGAGGGAAGGAGAAGAATGTCACAATCAATTTGGAGTCACAGTTTTTTTAAAAGCTGAACGGGCGTTTGGAGGCACAATGTCAGCTCTGTCAAAAATGTTCTGTGGTCTTTGCTACTAATTTTCATGTCAAAGGCCAAAGCGGACAAAGCAATACTGTAACCACAAACTCCTTTGATATTTAGATTAAAATGTAATCATTAAAAATAAGCCATGGTATTTATTTCCTGCCTCAGCTTAATCCTAGGCAAGTAATTCTTGAGAGAGCACACATATTCACTTATCGTTTTAGAGGGTTCCGAACACAATCCAGTTTGAACACACCTGCCTTAAAATATGATGTTATGAATGTTTGGATATATCAGAAAAAAAGTCCTGTAGGGAAAAGTTATGCTTGCCTAAAATAGAATACAACCTCTTCTGGGGGTTGTACATACAGAGGGGTTTTGGAGCCCCCCCCCTTATAGATCTTTTTCCTTGCAGAAGTATCCAGGCCTAATTGCTATGGCTGGTGGAAAGCAGGAGCTTAAGAGAAGCTTAACTATTATACCTTGTTTTGTGTTTGTGGAGGTAAGAAAACCAAGGAATTTGACCAATAATTTCTCCCTCTCTCTCTCTCTCTCTCTCTCTCACACACACACACACTCACTCTCACTCTCACTCTCACTCTCACTCTCTCTCTCTCTCTCCAGTTCAGTTTAGGGTTATAATAATAGTAATTGGATACAGAATTAGCATTTGGCTGGGATTGTCCTTTCAAGACTTGGAACTAAAAGTCATTTTGCTAGGTTTCCTGGAAGCTGCTCAGCAGAACTCGAAGCAAAATTGCCCAATGCATCTGCTATATTACAAAAGAAGCTGCTTGGGTAGTTCACAACATTGCTTGTATGGATCTCGTTATATGGGCCAGCCTTGCCCTTCTTGGTAGATGGCTAGGCTTCAGTACTCCATATTCCACATATGGAGGTCATTGTGGGCAGGAAGGCCAGCACTAACAGATTAGGATTAGAAAAATCTGTGTCATTGTGAGAGGGCAGTATACTGGAAACTAACTGCTTCACACCATCTAATCATCTGGCTGTTTGCAGTCCATATCTCATAGTTTTACTAGTGTGTCCCTCCTTTCCTTTAGTGGCCTAGTCCTAGAACACTTCAGCTCTGTAATATGTAAGGATATTCAAGAATTTAGTTAGTCTACTATTCTAGGGTACAAATCTGAATACCATCCCATGAAAACCAGGGAAATTTTCCTGAATTTTCTGTGTAAGTTTTTAGCAAACCTAGAAAGGTCCTCAAATATCCATTGAAGGTTAGCCATTTGGAAAATGCATCTACTTATATGGATTTTTAGAAATTTTCATGATATATTTTTAAAAATGAGGAAATGGGACAGGTGGCAATTATTTATAGATGCAAAATAGATTTATTTCCATCCCATGAAGAGCATTCAGATGCTTCCTATAAAGTGGATGGACAGAAGAAAACAGACATACATCTGAAACCTCTCCCCTGTCAAATTGAAGCCTACATTCAACTCACTTCCTCTGGGCTCAGTTGCCTGAGAGTTGGCCTTGCATCATTTATGAGCTATGAATTGCAAAAAGGGAAATGTCTGGGAAAAGTGGCAACCAGGAGTGGAGGGACATAGGGGAGGAATACAACAGCCTTATTTTGGCCCAGGAAGCTGGGTTCCTCTCTTATTCCTCAGCCTGCATCTGAGTAAGAAAAGAAAGAGGCATAGAAGTTTGCATGCAGTAACGGGCAGGTGGCAATCCCCTTTTATTCCAGGGATCTGAATGATCTCCTTGCCTCCCATTCTGCTAGTGGTGCCTGATGTGCCATCCTGTTCTTTTTCCAGCTGGGGATCATGGCTGGCACAGTGGTGCTGGCTTACCACTTTGAGTATTCAGATACTTTTCCGGTGCACTTTCAAGGATTCTTCTGCTATGACAACACTTTGGCCAAACCCTATCCTGGGCCAGAGGACAGTAGCCAAGCACCTCCAGTCCTGGTCTACTCTCTTGTTACTGCTGTCCCCACTGTCACGGTAAGTGATCCACGAGGGATTTGGGAGGAGAGAGAACTCCTTAAGAGGAAGGGCCGGTAAATCGATCTTGGGATACTTTGGCAATGATGACAGATAAACACAGCCTCCTTTGTGATAGTATTAATTTTCTTGGGATTAAGAGCACAAAGAAACTGGTTACTAGAGGGAAGAAGTATGAGGCCCTCCAGAGATATTTGAAGCTGTGTTGGGAAATGGAGTGAAGATGAATTTGAGGGCTCACAAGACACGCCCATTACAATCATACAGTATAATACATTTACATATTTTGTCTGCTCAGATGCTTTCATAGGCGTTGCCTCTCATATAGGTATTTTCAGAATGACCTATGTACCCGCCCAGATTTGTTTCTGTAATGTTTTCATTGTTATATTTTTACCTGACTTTTCCTCCAAATTGCTCAGGAGAAAGGACATAATTCTCTCCCCCGTTTAGTCTCATAAAAGACAAAGTATTAGGAACAGTGTTAATTGAGATAATTCAGCATATAGCTGAACATGGGTCTCTCCCATCCAACATCTTCACCAGTACAATGTGCAACATAACTGCTTTTTATTCCCCACCATTCTTTTCCTGTGTGGAAAAAAATAACCAGAAACTCCAATAAGAATGTTTGAGCCCAACTTCACAAAAGAGACCCCATTGCACTTCAGCTGTTATTATTGCTGCCAAGCTTGCCCCAGCTAGGTACCTAGGAAAGAAAGACCCTCGACTCCATTTGATTGAATTGATAGGTTCTTTTACTAAGGATCAGTGGCTGCAGTGAAAGCAGGCTAGTGCAAAGCATTACAAAGTTAATAACAACAACAACAACAACAACAACAACAATAATAATAATAATAATAATAATAATAAAGTTGGAAGGGACCTTGGAGGTCATCTAGTCCAACCCCCTGCTCAGGCAGGAAACCCTATACCATTTCAGACAAATGGCTGTCCAGTCTCTTCTTAAAAACTTCCACTGTTGGAGCATTCACCGCTTCTGTAGGCAGGTTGTTCCACTGGTTAATTATTCTAATTGTCAGGAAGTTTCTCCTTAGTTCTAGGTTGCTTTCCCCTTCTCCCTGGTGTATTGTATAGGTGTTTGGGGAACCGCTTGGATGTTTGGTGCCACTTGGTGCAATTTGCATTCCTGTTCCAGGCTCCATGGCCTTGAAGATTGAAACAGGCTGGTTCTCACACCTCTGGTTCAGTGGTGGGATTCAGCCAGTTTGCACCAGTTCGGCAGAACCGGTAGCTAATTTTTTGTTGCCCAGGCCCAGAATGGGCCTGGGCAACAAAAGTGGCATCCACACAGAGAACTGGTTGTTCACATATTTGAATCCCACCACTGCTCTGGCTTCTGTCAAACTTGTCACACAGTCAACACCTCATCCCAAGAAAGCAGAACTCATGGAAGCAAGTCCTTCCAAAAGGAACTTTTATTAGGAGAAGCTGATGGCAGGCATACTAGACAGGATCTGAGGGACTCCTGTACAGATCGATGGGTTAAAGTATCCCAAGCAAACCCCACCCCATAGTTCATCTGGACGGTTCAAACCGGCCAATCCCCAGGTGTTAAGTCCATCGTGGGAAAGGCAAGATAACATCGGTCTGGCTCTGGTCGTAGCACGATGTTCAAGCGGCTCTTTGCACCTTCTCTTGAGATCGGAGAAATAAGCCGGGCTCCGGAGGTTGTATTTCTTTCTCCCCCCCCCCCCTTTCCTAGCTGACAGGTTAGGGAGAAGAAAGTTCAGAGAGAGATACAGTGCAGGAGCGCGAAGTGTTACATTGCAGCAGTAAAGGAAGCTAAGGCGAAATGTTACACTGTAGAAATAGGGAAAGGAGGCAGGGAAGCAAAACCCCACATTGTATCAATAGAGGAAGCTAAGGCAATAAACCCCCGCTCTGTCCCCCCCTCCCCTCTAGGAGTATGGCAGAACCCAGGGAGAGAAGAGAACGGAATCAGGAGCCGAGAAAAAGAGAGGCAGGGAAGTATGCAATATGATAGATATGGGTTCACACACTCACACACACACTTTGGATTTTCTCTATCCTCTACATGCTAATTGCCTGTTTCCTCCCCATCCCCATCCCCGAACAATTTATGGCAGAGTGCCAGCACAGCACTAAGCTGAAGATGGCAGATCTGACAGGAGCACTCTCTATTTTTTTAACGAGGCCCTCAATTCATTGCTTTGCTTCCTTAGATGACTTATTCCATTGAATGGACTTTTCTCTATTGCATCTCCTTTCTCTGTCCCTTGCATGAGCCCTGTTTTCTTTGACAGCTTTTTCTACACAGTGGGCATTGCTATGCTGCTTTTATTTCATTAACATTGAAAATACCTTAGTGACCAAAGAGAAAGTGGAAATAAAATTATTATTTGCTTTGAACTAAACTCCCACTGATGTAGTCCTATCATGCTCTGAACTGCCACAGATCCTATCTACAGTAGAATTATGTTTTTGCCAAAAGTCATGTAAAAAACCCATGTATTTATATTCTGATCTGTGAGGATGCTTTTCAATCTGTTTTGCCAGCACTGCCCAAATCTAGGTTACAGAACTCATCTACTGATGTAGGGAAATAAGTGTCTATGTTTATCATCATGGAAATGCATACTCCATTTATCCCTCGGCTTGGGCTGGCATCTCCTGGACCTTTGGAGGCTAGAAAATAATGTCACTTAGCCTCCCATGCTAAGTCTTAGTAGTACTTCACTTACGAGAGGAAACATACGGAATCTTGAAGGAATCCTCCAGCCCTTTTGCAAAGGCCTTGGACAGCCTTGTCCTCTCAGAGCTTACTTTAAACAACCGCTATTAACGAGAAAGTACAATTTTCTTTCTGCTTCTTTCTCTCTCTCACTCCAGATACTTATTGGAGAACTGGCCGCCTTCTTCTTTCAACCCACAAGGCATAAGGAGAAAACTATCATCTCGGGAGAGTGCTGTTATTTCAATCCCCTTTTGCGCCGCACGATCCGCTTCCTGGGTAAGAGGAGAATGCCCCTCCCACCTAGACCCAGCTGAGTCCCCAGGCCCTGCCCCCCCTCCTCATTTCTGTCCTTTTCCTTTCATAGGTGTCTATTCCTTCGGCCTCTTCACTACCACCATCTTTGCTAATGCAGGCCAAGTGGTAACCGGCAACCAGACTCCACATTTCCTGTCCGTGTGCCAACCAAACTACACTGTGCTGGGTTGTCAACCACCCCCAGGCACCATTTACGTCACAGACAAGGCAGCCTGCACTGGCAATCCTCTCCTGGTCACTGCTGCCTGCAAGGCGTTTCCCTCCAAGGACGCTGCCCTGAGTGCCTATGCGGTGGCATACACTGTGGTATGAAGAGGCAGCTAGGTGACAGGACAGACAGAAAGATGGAGGGAGGGAAGAGGGGCCAGTTTTGAGCTTCTTCCAGTAATTGAGCACCCAATTCCCTTCCCATGCCCTGCCTCAACTTCCATTTGTATCAGACTGGGTGGGTAGAGGCCAGGTTTGACAATACACCCAGGCACAGAAGGGGTCAAGGTTTGGGAATGGACTGTTTCATTGAGAAGTCTGGAGTGCCCTCTGGTGGGCACAGTACAAAAGTGTGAAAGAAACATTCACAGGATCTTTTCACCCAGGAACTATCTTTTGGGGGAACTATCTTTTGTGACAAAGCACTGGCTGCTCTGAGAAAAAATATCCTTGGCATTGCCACCTCAGGAAAAAGGATCAGTTGTTTTGACTTCACTGTGATCATTTCTCATTAGAAGGCAGTAAAACCGAATAGGTCCCATGATGTTATACTGGGAAAAACCTAGCCTCTCCTCTTTCTCAGCCAGCTGAATTCTTGTCTTTTGGCCCTTTGCTTCTCTGACGCTGATTGGGTGCTGCATGCCATTGACAGAACAGGAATTTTTAGAATCTGAAACACTGGACTAATGCAATAAATGCATTGTCTACAACAACAACAAAGAATGCTTGGTGTATGCCGTTCAAGGTTATTTGAAAAAAAAAATAGACATTCTAGCTGGACAATGATTTAATGCTATGAAATGCAATAGTTCTAGAAAGCTGGATGCAGGGCTTGTTTAGCAGTGTTTAGATGCAGTATTTAGATACCATAGTACATCGGTATCTGCAGCTGAATATGAGTACAGCATCTGCAAGTCTATTTTAAGCAACTGATGCAGGTGGTGGAACTGGTACTGAACTTTTTTTCCCCTACAGTTTCTTGGAGTAGTTATTTACCTTGGTTGTAATGCTTAATTACCACATCCATTTTTAAGAATACTTGTTTCCTTGTGATTTATTTCCATGCTTTTTCTCTATGCAGTAAGGCAAGGAAAAAGCAAGGAGATAGCTGACTTTCCCATTTGCTCTTGCCTTGGCTGATGCAGCCATAAGGGAAGCAAGTGGTCTGTAAAGCCTGTTCTTCTGGGAGCTGCTTTCTTCCCAAACTATAGTATTCCTTACTTTTTGTTGTTTGATCCAATGGAAGAGAAAGAAACATGGGAAAATGTTGAGTGGAAGAACCAAGTTCGACAGTGACCAGAACCTGCCATTAGGGGGTGAAACAGATTATAGTTTCTGTTCCCCAAAGAATTGAATCTCCTATCATTAATATTCACCTTTTTTCCCTTAGGGAAATCTGGGATATTTTTCTTCCTGTTGTAGAGGTTGTGCCTCTTTCTTAGAAACTATTGATGATTGCTCTTTTATAGATGTTTGCTCTTGGTTGTTGTTTTCTTCTAAAAATGACATGTTTCCATCGGTCTTGCTCTTTAGGTTCATATGGACTCATTTTTACGGAAGCTGTTTGTTCTCTATTACCGTGTTTCCCCAAAAATAAGACCTGGTCTTATTTATTTTTTTGCCTCCTAAAGAGGTACCAGGTCTTATTTTGGGGAGATGTCTTTTCCACAATCTCATCTCATGGCGGCAGCACCAACAGCCCCGCCCAGCCAGCCCACTTCTTCTGCGGTGGCTGGCTGCCACTTGCGTGCATTGCCTCCAGCCTCCATTTCACTGTCAGGGGCCTTCAGGAAATGGCTCTGCAGCCGAGAACTGAGACTGGGGGGGTGCCGCACAGGTCAGTTCGGACTTCTATTCTCAGCTGCAGAGGTATTTCCTGAAGGCCTCTGATGGCGAAATGGAGGCCAGGGCGACACACGTGCAAGCAGTGGCGAGCGGCTGCAGAAGAAGTGGGCCAGCGAGGCAGGTGTCGATTCATGGGAGGCCTGGCTGCAACGGTAAGTGGGTGCAGGGCATGTGAGGTAGTTCCACCTCCCATCCCCATCCTAGCTTGATTTTTAAGCATGTGCCTCACCCCAAAACTAGGGGTTATTTTGGGGCTAGGGTTTATATTAGGCCCACCCCAAAAACTCAAGCTGGGTCTTATTTTTGGGAAAACACGTTATGTTCAGTTTAGGTGTATTGGTTTTCTTCCTTTTCTTCATATATGGAGTCATTTTTTTAGAAGCTGTTTACTCCCTATTGTGTTTAATTTTGGTGTAGTCTTTTTGTTTAGGTTGGGGATTCTCGCTTTGTTCGTTGAGTTTCAGAGTGGCTAGAGTTGTTTCTAGACCCTTTTTCTTCTAGTAACTCATATAATTTACATTTGATATAGTTTGGGACTTCTGTGGGCATAAGCTTAAATATAATGACATATTTTGAAAGTTACTATAATGTCAGTCTCTATTTCCATGATTTTTTGTTAAAAATTAAAAATTTCTAAAAATTAATATTTTCCCTATTATGAAGTGTCAATTTACAATAGTTTATAAAAGTTCTTGACCCTTTGTTCTCTGTCTTGAAAAATTCATCACTATCTTCCGTTTTAAGTGTCTGTCTCTTTTTCTATGATTTTTTTTTATTTTTTTCTCTTAGATTAAGAATTTAAAAATTTCTAAAGAATTAAAATAAGTAAACTCTTTTTAATTGTTTAGTTGAAAAAAGAAATTGAAAAATTGAAAAAAATTAAAAATTGAAAAAAAGAATTTTATAAAAAAATTGAAAAATAAATTTAAAATTGACAAAGATTTAAAAATTGAAAATGGAATTTAAAATTAAATTAAAAAGAAATTTAAAAGTTAAAAAAAGATTTTAAAAATTGAAAAAAGAATTTAAAAATGAAAAAAAATTAAAATTAAAAGAGAAATTTGAAAATTTGAAATAAGAATTTGTTTTTAATAAAACTTCAGAAATGTTAAAAATGTAAGGATTTACAAAAGTTCTTGGCCCTTTATGAAGTGTTATGCATTTCTTTTTGTTGGAAATATCAGGCTTTTTTCTAGGAGATGCTTAGCTCTTAACCCTATACACCCTGGCTTGAAAGTTTATCCCTTTCCTCTCTGTCCACAAGTGTTACGTACTTATCCTTTTCCTCTCTGCCTTCTTGCCCTTCGGTTGCCTGGCCACTGCTGGGGTTTTCAGATACAATGTACTGATCTGGGTGCTCTGCTCCGCTTAGCCACTGCTCATTTGCTCCATCACGCTGCTCATTTGCTACGCCACGCTACTCTCAGCCAGTGCTGTGGGCACTCCAGCCTGCTGTCATACTTAGCTCTGCACGCCGATGCTCAGTTGATCTGCCCCACTGGTCTCAGCCGCTGCTAGTCCACTGCTGCTTTCAGCCATTGCTATGAGCATCTGTTCCTCTGCTACTTAGCTTTGCACAGCTGCTGCTCAGGGTCTGGCGTGCTGCTCTCAGTCGCTGGTCTGCTGCCACCTAGCTCCATTTTACCGCTGCTCAGTGACCTAAGTTTGCACCTCACTGCCTCTGCTCAGCTGCCAGACTGGATCGCTGGGCCACCTCTCCATCTCTCAGCTGGGCTGCTGCACTCTCTCTCTGACTCTCAGATGGGTCACTGGGCTGCTTCTCAGCTAAGATACTGGGTCGCCTTACAGCTGGGTCACCTCTCATTTGAGCTGCCTCACAGCTGGGTCTTCAAAAGTAGTTTGCCTCCTTCAAAACTTCAAAAGTACTTTGCCTTTGCCTCCTTCCTAAGGCTAAGGAAGAGGGATTGAACCAAGCTCACCCAACTGACATCATGCTTCAGGCAGAACTAGAACTCACAGTCTCCCAGTTTTTATCCTGATTCTTTAACCACTATTATTATTATTATTATTATTATTACTTTAATTTATATCCCGCCCTTCTCCCGAAGGACTCAGGGCGGCTTACAGGCAATAAAAACGGAACTATACAATAAATATCTAAAAACAATTAAAATATATATTAAATAAGCCTGTTATTTTTAGAAAAGTTATAAAATCCCTATTAAAATCCCTATACAATCCCCCCCCTAG